TCATACAAACGTTAGAAAAAGATAGATAGATAGAGAGATAGAGAGAGAGAGAGAGAGAGAGAGAGAGAATGATGAAGAGAATGTGATAAATAATATAGAGAGTGCGAGAAAGAGAAAAATAAAAAAGACTAAGAAAGAGAGAGTGTGTGAAAGAGAGAAAAGAGAGCGAAAGAAAGAAGATAGAGCAAGAGAGCGTGAAAGAAAGATAGAAAGAGTAAGAGATAAAATGGAGTGAGAGAAGAAGAAAGTAAAGCGTAGAGAGAGAGAGACCGGGAATAAAAGAGAAAAATTCTGGATCAGTTCATGTATCCAAAGAAAACTTGGGAATAAACTAATAAAGCACAAGTCTTTCTCACTCCGTGTAAAGCCTAGAGTCACAGCCTCACTATGCAAGTCTGCTTTTTGTACAGGGTGAAGTTGCCAGGAACATGCCTAACTGGTTTTTAATTCAATTATCTTTTTCCTAGACTGGTTACCACCAAGACTGGATTCTCTAGCCTATTCTCCTATTTAATAATGTTTTTATAACTTCATTAAATCAATTGTTACGTCTGCTGGTAGGGAAGTTAGTTCACTGTGTTGTTCTAGACAATTTTTCTTGTCAGAATGCATCTTACATCTTTATAATTCTACCATTTGCCCATCCATTTAAATTTTGCTATCACATCCGATCTGGTGCTTTTGCTATGTATTTATGTAAGAGTGTAAGAGGAAGAGTAATAGAGAAGAGAATAAGAAAGAAATTGATTTGTTTTTACGGCTTATCAACCTTCTGTAGGTTATTTAAAACCAGAAAATATTTTTAGATTTTAAGACAATATTTTAGATATAATAATGATGTACTGATACAAGTCCTTCTATCCTTATATCTATCTGGGAGACGTGGATTATCTTTCCCAAGAGTATTTGCGCGTAAGTGAATATAATGATCCCGATTGGAATTGGAACTCGGCTCTCCGATTTCAAATTCTGAACCGTTATCCATTACACCACCCGCACATCCAAGCTTACACTACATGCTATTTCCAAGCAGTCAACCGTCTAGTTATTGACCAGGCTCGACGGAGAGAAAGAGAGAATGAGAGAAAGGGAGAGGAGAGTGGGAGAAAGAGACAGAGAAAAAGAAAGAGAATCTTGTATATATTAAAGATTTAAATTATATGTTTAAAAAGTTGCCATTGAAATATTCGAATTTTACATGTATTTATCCCAAAAGTGGGTGTACAGAATAAAATATATTCTGTACACTCATTCCTTCAAGAACCGACTTGTCAGTAACATGACCAGTGGAAGTACATATGTCCTTGTGGGCAATCAGAACGCAATTTGTACGTAACTGGTAAGTATCTATGTGGATACGTAGGTAAGTAGGTAGATATAAATGGATGCAAGTACAAAACATTGCCTTTGGTTGCGAGCATGACTGAAACACTAGCAGAGCGTGAAAGATTGGTCATAAAAACCCATCCTACGTTTGAACCAGTACCAGTCTTGTTATAAACCACACGGTTAGTGGAAGTAAAGTATATGTAGAAGCACACCATCCCAGTATATCTAAATATTAGTGTATAATTCGCTCGATATATACAAGTGCATTCTCTTCTAAAAATCCAGTGTTATTTCATTAAATCACAGATCACTAAACCTTATAACCAATCCTTATTTGGTTGTTATTAAAATTAGTTTCGATGTGAACGGCCTTTCTTATCTACACTCTTTTGACATATTAACCAAAGCGAGACTTTTATAAGGCCAATATCTATACAGGCCTTTATTTTCTCTCTTAATAATGCACTGATGATAGAAGTCGCGTTGAATAGGTGAAATCTTGAGATCGAGTGACTCCATCTTGGATTTGAATCCAAAACATCATTTCTATGACAGATAATATCCTTAATCTTTATCTGTCGGTAATGAGGCACGAAAAAGGATGCTCATATCATTCTCTCTCTCTCTCTCTCTCTCTCTCTCTCTCTCTCTCTATATATATATATATATATATATATATATATATATATATATGTGTGTGTGTGTGTGTGCGTGTGTGTTTACACGTACCCTTCCCAGTAACTTGATCCAGACTTGAACTAACGTCAGACTATTGAAAGCCATATAAGAATCTGCACCAAAAACATCTATATACCAAGGTGGGAATATTTTCTTGTTTTGTGGAGACATTTTAAGTCACGTGATTCCTTGAATTGTATTTTATAAGCGTTTTGCTGCGATTTCATTTATTTCTACTAGGGTTGCTGAAAAGTTAAGTAATTCATTCATTTGTCATTTGGTTAGATTTTTTTTTTCTAAATAGCTCCGTATCTCTGCATCTCACATTATTAGCTACATCATGATCTACCGTTATATAAAATAAATACATATTGGAATCTAAAGGTTTCTTTACTGAGTGATGGCAGCATCTACCTGCGCAGTTACCATGAGAATTGTCTTGTTCTGCGCAAATGTAAACAATCGGCTGTCATTTGCATTTCATCTGAATTTCGAAGTCACAATTTTATAACCAAATTATAAGTTTAAAACTTTAAAATATGTCGTGAAGCTGATTTTACTGATGAAGCGAAAGTTTTCATAAGGCCAGAACTTGATGAAAAGCAAACATCACTGGAGCTTGTAAAAGTGATCGGTTGGTACTATCAAACTGTGAAGAAGTACGTTGAAGATGATGGACACCTACGATGCACTTCTGAGATGAGTAAATTGGGAAATTATTTTATTGATCTATGTCCTTTGCTAAGAAAGAAGTAATAAAAAGATTAAAAATTATTAAAATTTTAGATGCTGCGACAAGAAGGAAGTGTCGAAAAACTCAAGATGTCGAATCCTAAATCAAATGGCAAAACGTGTGAAATAGTAAGCTAGGCTCCCTTTAAAACATATCGATAAGGAAAAACGAATAAGATGGGCAACAGAATACATAAATACCAATTTTTTAACCTTTCCCTTTATCGACGAATACGATGCTACTCACAATGGAGCAGACAAATCGAGCAAAGACTGGATACCTACCGAGGCATCCAGCACACTGAGGTGGAGCGATACTTTGAGCTAGAATGATAGATGGTGTAGAGGTAAGTCCAATGGACTAGATTATGTTGATAGCTCAGACATATTGAAGGCTCACATGGATGCATAGTTCAAGAAGAAGCCAAACGTTTTCAGAAAGAAGATGGCTGCATATCCAATAATAAGCACGACAATGCTACACTACATTTACTGAATAAAATTATTGAATATCTGACCAAAATTGATTTCAAACATACTTGTTTAATAAAGTGGCCAGTTTGTCACCCAACCTTAGTCCGATTAAAAACTTGTGGAGCATTCTGACGAAGAAGGTTTACATTGGTGGACAGCAATTGGCCATGAGCGATAAACCTTGGAATACTGTTTTGGGGCTGTGCAGTCTGTTCCATAAGAAAAATAAAACATACAATTGCACACAAAATCAATGGATAAATGATCTTTAAAACGAATTAAATAACATGGAACGTACATTCCACATTATTATTGTCTATATGATTTTATCGTTATTACAATGATATTGTTTCGATATTTTTTCTTCAAAAAACTTAAGTGTTTATATTTATACTCTGCACATAAATACATACATACACACACACACACACACATATATATATATTTATATATATATGTGTGTGTAATGTATAATAAAAAAAGAGAGGAACTGCAAATGTTTTTGATTATAATGTAGATTTTTTTTTTAAAATATATTAAATAAAGCATAATATATATTTTTTTAAAAAATCCACATTACAGCCAAAAATGTTTGCGGTTTCTCGCTTCTTTTTTATTATACAAACTTTTCTCTCGTTGAACTACTATAACCTCTTCCTTTTTTATATATATATATATATATATATATATATATATATATATATATATATATATATAGATAGATAGATAGAGAGAGAAAGTGAGAGAGAGAGAGAAATAAAGATAATGGACACTGAGGTCAACAAGCAGGTCTGACGATTGCTTTTAAGCATGAAGCAGACTGGCGCTTCTGAGTGTTGACTTCAATGTATGTTACATACGCTCTATCCCTGATATTGAATACTTTAATTATAAATATGCAAATCATATATATATATATATATATATATATATATATATATATATATATATATATATATATATTTACATATATATATATTTACGCACAAAGAGCGAGTGAGAGATGAATAATTTGTTGTGTGTTTTTTTATGCTGTAACCCTTCCATTTGAACACATGATAAACCATTTTTTTCTATATTGATCAAATGTTTAACTGAAAAGAAAAAGTCAGACATTACTTTCTGGCCAAATCAGTTTGTTGCTCGCAAGAAATCCAATCATATTTTCATGCTGAAACCTTAAACACTCTGGAGATAAGATATTTTTTTCTTGAAAGACGGATCAGAAAATAGGTCTAGGAGGAATGGTAATATTCCTATATGAAAAACTAGAAAGAAGTCAACATTTTTACCGCATAAAAAAAAAACGCTCTTAACAAATTCAGCGCAAATTTGGCCACGTCACAGGAACCAAGAATCCTTCTACTATCGCCCGACAAGAATCCAAAGAAGAAGAAACAGGCAGAGGAAAAATGGCCAGACAACATCACTGAGTGAGCTGCAAGATCATTTACAGATATTAAGACATTGGCACACAACCGAGACATGTGAAGGTAGCTAGTCATGTTCCCAGCTACATAACCTCCCTACGAGCAAATGTTGTCATGGAAGTGATTATGTTGTGGATGATGGAGATGATGATGATGGTGGTGGTGCTGGTGGTGATAATGAGACTTTACGGCCTATTGATTATTTACTAACAAATTGACTTTATGTCTCCGATGACTAGAATTGGTTGCTTGGACTGAATTGGATGATCCCAGGAAATTTTACGGTTTTAGTCCGTCGTCCCCCCTGCTATCCTCTACCATTACCAGGTACTAAGTGCAGTGGCGAGGTGTAAGGGGCTATCGAAAGGACGAATGATGCCGCCACTCAGCATTTTGTCAAATTGTTCCCCGGCGTACGCCATTTTGTGTGGTGCGAGTCGTCGCGGATAGGAGTGTACAGGCGGACCTCTAGTCCTGATGTGGTGCTGAGTTTGGTGGTCACCTGAAGCAGTGGCTTGGAGTGGCAGCGTTATATCTGTGAACTGCGTCAGGAGATCCAAGTACTCAGATCAAGACGAAAATGAAGCACTGTTGTCATATTTGGACGGGAGCTGCCCACTCCTCACTTTTCAGTCTCGATAGAGTTCAAAAGCGTCATCCGAGTCCTTGTGGGTGATGAATATTACCCACCCTCTAACCTCTCTCACACAGCAAGACGTAGCGAAACTCTCACTGCTCTATTGCTAATCGCATGGAAAGTGATCGAACGAACTACATTATTTGGTTACGCCAATTCTAACCTAACATTTACGGCTAGGACCGTCAATACCACTTACATTGCGGCAAGCCATCCACATTTCCTTCATATTCCATCGGTGAGAAGGGCACCTCGAGGCGGTGTATTTGTTAGCAAGCTAGTGAGTTGATCCCTATTTTCGGCCTTGTGCTACGCTTGGAAAATCCTTATTCCATCGGTGAGAAGTTCCTTCTTCCCGCAAACCATTGCTCTGTGGAACAGACTTCCAAGTGGGTGTTTTCCCGCGACCTCTACAATCTTAACCTGTTCAAGTCTAGAGTTAACCGTTATCTTCCCCGCCACTTAGCGTAACGATCTACCTCGATTGGCCCCGGGGTTTATACAGGGTAAATCTTCTGGAAAAAAAAGAAAAGAAAAAAAAACAAAACCCACATATTCTTGTTTATACATATGCCATTGGGTTGCGGTGTCAAATTAAGTTTATTTATTTATTCTAACACAACAATGCAGGGGATTGTTTCAAAGGCTTAGATACGCAAGAATTGAAGTGACTACTTGAGAAGCTCTTGTGACGAGTTCTATTTTTAGACATTGCCCTAAGTTTCTGTTAGAGAGTGTGTGTCTGCTGTATGATTAATATTAACATCCATATGCTCTTTAAAATATCATCGATATTTTATTTTTTTTACGCACACACATACATGCGCAAATGTATGTACTTATGTCTACGTATGCGGATGTGTGTGCACGTAGTTAGACATGAAGGCGTCCGTCTTCTTTGCAAAGAAAGATATTTGGCTTAATGAATATTGGTTCAAGCCACTCAGTGAGGAACGTACATACTGACAGTAGTTTGCAAGGCAAACATGTTAACTATCTCACTTGACAGGGAATATCTAGATACGTCCAGAATGCATGTGAATATAAATATTTTCAGACGCGTCGACATATATATATATATATATATATATATGTGTATGTGTGTGTGTGTGTGTGTGTGTGTGTGTGTATGTGTGTGAATAAGTATAAAATATTGCACAATGACTGCTGGTTGTAACAAAAGTGCTAAATGTAAAATAACAAAGTTATAATTTATACTATTAATAATAAATATATTTTTTCCTCACTGTTTGATGAAACTCTGACTTGTACCAAACTCTGATGTTATATATATATATATATATATCTTGAAGCAATCACATGTCTAGCCACACTGATGACCTGTGATACAGCGAAACACTCTGTCTGTGGATGACTATATATATATATATATATATATATATATATATATAATAGCTGGCCACTCTTATTCGAGGGTACCCGCCCATTAGGGGGGCTAGCCAATCCCTATTGCAGACGCACGGTCAGGTACATTTGTGTTTGTTCAACACCCACAGAGCCAACCTGTGGTTTATACTGCAACTATGCTGAGCAAACCTTAGTTTCAGTTTCTGGGAGATAACGTGTTATCTAGCGTAATCAGTAATCTGAAAAAGGTTAGCTCACTCAAACCCTCGGTCACGATGACTTGTGACTTCGTGCTAGCATAGCTATTGCCGGACCACAAAGATTCCGTCTACACAATTCCACTCACAAGGCTTGGATCAACTTGTCTGTCTAATTTGTCTGTTTAATTCCTTTTATTGTATTTTTACAGTTTTCGGATAAGTATTTGAGTATTGTGCTCAAAGTTGTGGATAAATTGTTCTAAGTCCATATTTTGTTAACGAAACATGACAAAATATGAATTTTGGACAGTTTAACCACAACATTTAGCACAATACTGAACAACTACGAAAATTTTAAAAATACAATCAAAGAAATTAAACGGACTTTTTCTGTTCTTTTTAATCAAACTTGTTTGGTTGGATGAATACTTGCTGCCTAAATATATATATATATATATATATATATATATATATATATATATATATATATATATATATATATTCAAACCTATGAACACTAATAGGTACGTTACAATCTTCATAAATACGTTGGACACTATTGTAAGTGGGGAGAGGTAATATGCTGTCTAAGTAGTCCACCACTAGCAGTTGTTTACCTACTTTACCTCGCTGGCGAGTATTGTATTTTGTTGATGTTATAAAGATTACCATTTCATTTCCAACCTTCGATTTGGTTATTCCTCATTCAGTAACCTTTTCTAGGTTACAACGTTTATATATATATATATATATATATATATATATATATATATATATATATATATATATATATATATTCATCATGCTTGTCGTATTAGGTACCTTCGAAAAACTATTCTTATATCGCTTTCCTCATTGTCGATAACGATAAGTGTGTTGTTGGCGAACAGAGTTTTAAATTTGACGAATCGTGAATGCAAAACAAAGAGTCTTGTTTCAGACCACGAAAAACGTCGGTATTGTTTGTGAGGGAAGGAATAAGGAATTAAACGCTTTGTCATTGTGTAGAAAGATCAAAACGAACGTTACAAACACACACTTCATCCTAAAGAATATCTGCTTTGTTTCCCATAATTACATGAAAAAGTTTTGACACACTAAAGTACGATTGACCACTAGAACAAGCGAATGATGACCAAACTGTGATAAAAAATATGAGCTGTTCTTTTTAAAAATAAGTCGGTTGAAAGTTGACGGAGTATTAATTGTTTTCACAAAAATATACATTAAAAATAACTATTTACATTGTTCGGACTTTTGTCCTCATCTTTATTCTCATATTCACGATGTTTTGGCCGTTATACAGTCTTCTTCAGGTGATATATGTTGGAATTTCGAACCGAACCCTTTATTTAGTCCACTGGGATAGATTATTCTACTTCCACATGCCATGCCCTTTCAGGATATCTTAGTTTCAGTTATTTCCCTTTAGTAATTCAACTTTCCACGTTTTTTTTTTTTTGTTGCTTTTTTTCACCTATACTGTAGCCAGGTATTGAACTCACAACTCTTTGGGTCAAGTCACTGAATTACTTCAATTACTTTATTTTATCCACTGGGTCATATGTCTAAAAAAAAAAAAAAAAAAAGAAAGAAAGAAATATTCAAAAAAGGCATGGCATGTGGAACTAGAACAATCTACTCCCCTGGACTAAATAAAGGGTTCGGTCCAAAAATCCAGCGTATCTCACCTGAAGAAGGCCGGGGCTTACAACGGCCGAAATGTCGCGAATATGACAATAAAGATGAGGACAAAAGTCAGAACAATGTAAATAGTTACAATACTTCATCTCAGAAATATAGACAAATAAAAAATAACTGTTGCTACTTTAACGCTATTTTCATGGCAAATCTTCTGATGAGCTCCAGCTTCTAGTTCCACCAATTCAAATCTTTACGTCTCATTTCTTTCGTGTTTCAAATGTAAGAGGAAAATTCCATCCAGCTTCTTCCCAAGAACTAACACTTATTGGAAGAGACTCCATGACTGTTTTAAGTGAAAGGACAGTCCTTATCTATCCTCCATATCCTCGTAATCTTTTTACTATCTATCATTTTCTCTTCCATTCATATCACACATATGATTCATCATTACAAATTCGACTGTGATCCTCTAACTTGAGTGGCTCTTAAGCCTTGTGTTGAGTGAAATCTTTAAAAAGATTATCGATGAATCTATTTTTCACTCCGTAAAAACACAAAACGAAGTGAGAATAGAAAATAGAGACAAGAAAGATAATGTTCCGTTCATCTAAACGAATAAAATATATGTGCCTTTAAAAATAGCATTCGAAGTACTGACCTTTTACTTGGACTCAGACACTGACCACTGGGCAATACATATCTCAGCCGGCAACCATGACTCTGTTTAATATTTGTGTTGACATTAAATTGGGCAACTTAACGTGATTAAATTTCTTATACATATTCTGAATATAATCCAACTTGCATTTGCAATTTACCATTCCCCAAATTCACTTATTTAAAGAAATTTGAATGATAATCCAAAACGAGTCTATACTTTATCTTCTTCAGTGTGGATAGGATTTCATTTTCCCAACAAAACTTGTTTAAAGCGGAGATTTCATGTCGGTTAGTACTCTTCACTATTTTCTTTAACTCTAAATGGTTCCCATTGTTTGTCCAAATTAATAAATAGTTAATCCGAGCATTTTGAAAAGAAATACTCACTTGTAAGGAAAAGAAAAGTTACTGTAAAGAAGTCGTTTGCAAATTCTTCCTCTTTTATACGATTTTCTGAATATTAAACTTCATCATTTTACGACTTGTTTTAGCGACTAAAAAACACTGAATCTCAAACAAAAAATTGAAAAAAGTAAACAGAAAAGAAGAAATTTACCATCTGTTTTGAATTAAACATTTTAATCTTCTTCATTTTTCGATTTTAAGATAATCTAGTTATTTCTAGTAAATTGAAATGATTTTGTTCGTCTTTAAAGTTAAGCAAAGCGATTAACAAGTCTTGGTCAATGTTTTTTTTTTTCTGGTCATGTAGTGAATTTATGCTAATAAAATATGGCGAACATCGACTGAAGCAACGGTGAGCATTATGGCTGACAAGTGATGTAGAACACCACTCCTTCTATTTCGTGTCTTTACTTGGTTGATAAAATGCATAGTGAAAGAGAAAG